CTGTCAGATCACACCTCCTGAGCACAGTATGAGAACAGGCCATCAGAGCACACCTCCTGAGCACACTGTCAGAGCATGCCATCAGAGCACACAGACTTAATACAGACACACTGACTGACTGTAGTCAGTCAGTAAAAATATGAGCAGAAGTTATAACAGTAGTGATAACAGCAGTATTAATAACAGTAGTAATCACAACAATTATACTGTACCTGCGGCAGTAACAAGAGCAATAATAACTGCAGTAGTAATAAGAGCAGTAGTAATAACAGTAGTAATAAAAGCAATAATAATTACAGTAGTAATAAGAGCAGTAGTAATAAGAGCAGTGGTAATAACAGTATTAATAACAGTAGTAATAAGAGCAGTAGTAATAACAGCAGTAAGAAGAGCACCTACCTCCAGCAGTCCGGTGCAGCAGACTAGCAGTATCAGAGCCAGGACAAAGAACGTGACTCCATACGACACACCCAGAGCCGCGTTCCTGAGAGAGAGACAGGCTGACGAGGACACACAGCTCCCTCTGTCCCACAATTCCTCCTCCCTGCCCCTCTGTATCCTCCTGCTTCTTTCCACCTCCAGTCTCCTCTCTCTCTCTCTCCGATCCCCTCTCTCCTTCTCTCCCTCTCTGTTCCCTCTCTCCTTCTCTCCCTTTCTGTTCCCTCTCTCCTTCTCTCCCTCTCTGATCCCTCTCTCCTTCTCTCCCTCTCTGATCCCTCTCTCCCTCTCCCCCTCAATGACAACTCTCTCTCTCTGATCCCTTTCTCCCTGTCTGATCCCACTCTCCCTCTCTGACAACTCTCTCTCTCTGATCCCTCTCTCCCTGTCTGATCCCTCTCTCCCTCTCCCCCTCTCTCTCCCTGTCTGATCCCTCCAGAGGGGTCTCTGCTCACTTGTCGGACACCAGCATCTGGATGATGAAGACGGCTGTGAAGATGAGGATGGTGCAGATCAAGGAGACGAACAGGTTCTTCATCTTGGAGAAGCGGTACTAGACAGGAACAAGACAACTCGTCAGCTACAAAACTACACAACACACTGAGCAGCTGAACTAAACCACTACACAACACAACAGTTGAGAGGGAAGTTGAATTCTCACCTCCTTCTCCATATTCAGATCATTGAAGAACAGAGTGACCACACTGATTGTCTGTGAGCGACCCATTTCCCTGAGAGAGAAAAAGAGAGAGGGGTTCATACAGACACACTGACTGACTGGACACTCCAGTACATTAACACTGCACTGAGAGAGAGGGGTTCATACAGACACACTGACTGAC